GGTGTCCCGTCAGCTTCCCGTGGGGTAAAGGGGGGCAGGGCGGGGCAGGAAGTTTCCTCCCCTCCCGCCTCAGTCGGGCAGCAAAAGAGTCCCCAATTCTGCTCTCCCCGGCCTTTCCTCGCCCAGGTGTTGCCGTATGTGTGTGCGTGTGTAGGAGGGCAACGTTTCCCTCCGAACTCTGGGGCAGTTTTTGGCTGGGCTCCGTCCCTCTTCCCGTTGCCTTTACTCTTCCGTGTGAGGGGATTGTGGTATTCCCCCCCCCGTTTCACGGAGATGGGTTTCTCAAGGGTTTCACGTGAACCGCTCCGAAAGGGCGTGAGGGTTTGCCCGAACCAAGGTTGAAGCCTGCGGTGGGACTTTTAGTTTGCGTCCCCCCCCGCCCCCGCCCCAGGTTTGCCACAGTTTTTAAAATCTCATGTTCTGTAGGATTCAAACGGAATTCTTGTCTGTAGGTGGATCATGCATATTTCTGCCAGGACCAGGTTTTGTATTAGGTTTATTTGTAAAGAGAATCGTCTAATTCTTTTGGCTTCTTTCTGCCCTCCTCTATAAATATAACAAGAAGTATTCTGGATATTTTCCTCATGAACTTTGAAACTAGAGCTCCACAGGATGTATACATAACTGATGATAGGTAGCAACTCAGTGAAATGCAACTTCTGACAGGGAGAGCCCTAGCAGTCCTGTCAAATAACCTGGAGGATCTCATCCTAAAAGACATGCTAGGGGCCTTTGGGTCTTAATGGGGTCAACAGTCCAGCCCAGTTCCCAAGGTACCTCTTTATTATAAACCAAAATTAGGCTACACGTGGGAGTCTGTGAATCAAATCCCTTGAGGTTTTGCTTTCTAAGTTTTAAAGCCACCCATGTGTTGATGCCTCATGGCTTTCCTGGCAGGGTACTGAAAAAGTTTCCAAAAGGAAAATAGCTTGGAGGAGGTGGTGTGGTGTAGCCAGAGGAAGGCACACACTTCTCAATAGCAAGACTTCTAGCTGGGACTGCTTCCAGACAGTGTGTTTGCTCTGGAATTACATGACCGTTTCCCTCACAATTTTTACCTAGATATTTGTTCAAAAAATATCACCATCATTTGAAGTTATCTCATGTTTTCCAAGTACAATTTCATTTTGCTGTCATATGTTTATCTCATGAAGTCTGCAAAACTGTAGATACCATTAATGCTTCCTTTAATACTACTCATCTGTCTTCTTTCAAGAAGTGTGGTTTTGAAATAAGCAATTTATGTTGTTACATGCTGTGAAGTTACCTCCAACATGGTGACCCTATGAACGAGTGATTTTCAAAATGTCCTCTTTTCAGCAGCCGTGCTGAGCTCGTGTGGTTTCCTTTAGGGAGTCAGTCTCATATTTTGTCTTCCTCTTTTCCTGTTGCCTTCAACGTTATTGTTTTTTGCCGTAGAGTCTTGCCTTCTCATGATGTGCCCAAAATAGAACAGTCTCAGTTTTGTCATGCTGGTAACCAGAGATAGTTCATTTGATCTAAGAGCCACGGGGTGCTAAACTGTACCCTGGTTAGCACACGTCCATGATGCTCTTTGCTGTGGCTACCATGTTTTTACCCGCTTTAATTTTTTTCAATAAATCTTTAGATGATAATCGTCATCATCACCATCATCATCTTAGACCTGTAGAGGTGGAAGGGACCCTGTGGATCATCAACTCCAGCCCCTGTCAATGAGGCACAATAGGGAATAGGAACTCCCAACTTCTGTCTTGGCAGCCAGAGACCTAAACCAGTGGGCTATCCAGCAGTGCTAAGATGATTTCCCAGCTATAGCTGCAGAAATGCCTTGACACCAAGATTCCCTCTAATGTGTGTGTGTGTTTGACTCCGCTTCCCTCCGGGCAGCTTACTTATTTCACACACTCACAGTGAGTGTCTCCAGCCCCTTTTATTCTGGCATAACGGAATTCCATGTGGGGTGGGGAGAAACCCACGCACAAGAGGGTCTAATCCCTGCCCAGTGGAGCTGTAAATTAGTGGGAGCATTGATTGATACCTTAGTGAAATAATGCTTAACTCAATATGTTGTAGTAATATACTTTCCAACTTGTATTATACTATTGATGGGGGAAGTACTAGAATATGGTTTTAAATAAAGTGGTATTCATTGTTTTAGTTCAATGTTTTAAAAAATAGACTGAAAAGTTTTAATACTAGTTAAAAGGTAAACATATTTAAACTGGTGCCTGGTGCAAAGACGATTGGGCAGAGATGAATACATAGCTCAGTTCTGCAGGTGTAAGGTGGCTGTGGAAGGACAGAATTCAGCCTCCAGAAGTTCTGGACTCCACCCCTGTAAGGATGAGTGACTCCTCTGGTTGTTTCAGATCAGAGTGATTGCAAACAACTAACAGATCCCTCTCCATAATGGGATGCAGTGGTAGCAGCTTTCAGAAGGGCTTTGCAGTACTGTTTAAAAGTGGCATGGCAGTTTAGCCGTGGGCTCTGGAAACTGGTCCTTAGTTCCGAAATGTTTTTCCACATCGGTATAGAAAATGTATGCTGAGCTATGAGGGGCTTTGCTGTATTCTGAACTTCTCTCTAATAATGTGGAATGTCTGTTGTAATTCCATTTGTCGCTTACTGTGGAAGAGCAATCATACACTGGTGGTAGGAATTATCTGTCTCAAAGTTCAGAAATCCTTCTATACCCTTTCGCCTCTTCTTTGAGCTTTAAACAATTCGCAGGTGAAATGATTGCTGAGCTCCTTGTGTTAACACCTCTCTCCAGGACACAGGCAGATGGCCCTATGACTTTTTCCTCTCCAATGTAGAGGACTTCAGGAAAAAATGGTGTTTCAGAAGAACTGTTCAGTCTTGCCATAACTCACTTTGCTGTTAACATATGATAATCTGAGAGAGCTTCAGTGTATTGGAGTACAGCATGGCATTGCCAAATGCCTTTTAATAAGTCGATGTTGTCCAGCTTCCATCTGAAAGCTTTGAATTTCTCAATTGATTTATCCCACAGTGTCATGGGATATATATAGGCAGTGCTTCCAGGGTTCATTTTTAGAAAGGTTGCTTGTGGATCTTGAAATGCAGTCAAAGTATTCGCAAGTTTTGTAACCAGTACAGTGGTGCCTCGCTTTACGATTGCCCCGCATTAAAACAAAACCGCATTACAATGATCTTTTTGCAATCACAATTGCGATGGTCTGAATGTTTTTTTTTTTCGCTTTGCGATGATCGGTTCCCTGCTTCGGGAACCGATTCTTCGCAGAACAACGATTTTCCTCCAGTTGATCGGCGGTTTCAAAATGGCCGCCAGTAAATAAAATGGCTCCCCGCTGTTTTCTGGGACGGATTCCTCACCGCACAGGCACCGAAAATGGCTGCCTTATGGAGGATCTTCGCTGGACGGTGAGTTTCCAGCCCATTGGAACGCGTTGAAGGGGTTTCAGTGTGTTTTAATGGGCTTTTTATTTTCCCATTACGCCGTTTTCGTTCTACAGCGATTTCGCTGGAGCGAATTAACATCGTAATGCGAGGCACCACTGTATAGTGTAAAGTTTGAAAGTCTCTTTTGTGACATCAGAACAGTTGCACCTACAACAGCTAAAGAGACCAGGACAAATCAGCCTTGTCACAGCTGCTGTGACATTGAAGCAGATCAGCTATTGGGGTTCAAATGAGGTTTTCCAGATGTAAGGTTCAGTATCATTGGTAGATATGTTTTTTCCTCGTATACTGTTTTGAATTATTTGCTTTCTGAAAAACTTGTATGAGTTTATGACAGGATGACAGATCTGAGTATTAAGGAAGAGAACAAGGAACAAATATCTTGTAAAAACTCAGTAGTGTGCTTTATGTTTGCCTAGGGAACATCAGGAGCTTTCAGTAAAAAGTGTGAATTTTAGGGCAATGGATGGAGTGAGTATGAGAGAAGAGATGGCGGTGATGACCTTGGCGGCATGATAATAATCATTAAAACACATCACCCTCATGCAGGACGTGCACAGCTAAACACATCAACACTCCTCCTTAAGATTCTTGCCAGGGAAGAGAAAGAGGGAGAAACCATGTGAAGTGGAGAAGATATTAAGAGAAAGACAATATGGCATGTAGCCTTGTGAAAGATTATAGCTGAATGAAAACAGTCTCAATGTGAAAAATATAGTTTACTTCTCTATGGTACAAGATTTTGCTGGAAATGTGTAAATACTGTAGAGGATTTGTCTAGTGACTGATGTCAGTAAGCTGTTTGTACTCTGTGCAGAGAACATTCTATTTGGAAGGAACATGATTTTCTTCATATAATTTACATAGGCGGGGGGAAAGGAATCGTCATGTTTGGGAAGATTTAAGCAAGCACCAGTCTGTACCTGTTAGTTTTAAGTTCTCTCCCTGCCTTATTTACATTTATAAAAGTACTTACTGTGATTTGAATTAGCCTCACTGTAGTATAGCCCTTGAGTAAAGACAGAGACAAACACTTGCTTGCAGAAATAAGGAATCTGTAATAGAATATGCCAGGATGGATTTGATTTAAATCAGATTTATTTAAATTTTAAATAATCGGAGTTTTGAGAGTTTAAATAAAATTTTTGAATCATATTGGTTTTTTTGATTTAAACTATCAAAATTGT